CCCTCAATTATCTGATTTACGCATCAAAACACGTGATACCTGTTGAATGTTCTGGCTGATTTTTGTTTCACTTTTCTTTACCCTTGTGAAGATCTACCTGGAGGAATCTTTTGATTTTTGACCATCATTCTCTACCGTATGTCTGTCTGTCTTCTGTGCTGCTTGTGTTAGGGCAATATTGCATCCACAGGATAGTGTAATTTTCTTTTTTTTAGTTGCTTAACCTTATATAGATCTAGGTACTCTTGCCAAACACGAGATTAACTCGAGGAAAATGCCTCTAATCGTTTCATTAAAATGGGTTGCTAAGATCATGAGGATTATTTTTTCTATAAACCTGCAGCATTAACTAGCATCGGTTTTCAGCCAAATGACATTCAGTCTTGAGGTTGTCCATGTCAACTTAGGGTCATTGGTGGTTTTCTATTCAACGACCTCGCTTCATTCCCTTTTGATAGAACCAGAAGTCTTCATTTACAAGTTTTATATTATTTCATTTGTGGTCTCTATTGATCATGAACTGTGATTCCCGATCGAAATTTTATTTACTTGGGCTGATAACTGGTTGAAAAATGTTAGGTTGGAGTTTGGAGGGATAGAATCATAATATGCACGGGAACTTACGGTCCCAATGCAAATTTGATCAAGGCCTTTCTAGATTATGGGGCCAAAGCTGTTATATGCCCTGCATGTAACACCCCCAACCCGTACCCGACCCGGATACGAATCCGATGTGTCAAATTGACTTTTTAAAACCGGTACTTGTACAAACTAGTGAATAATTTTAAAACTTTTATTAAAACAACTGACTAAATTACATAAAAGATATTCATATGATTTTAGAAAAACTAATTAGAGTATATCAAATTCAAATCTTTATTTACATGTCAACTACCATCCGTATTATAAAATACATATTATACAATGCTTTTCTGATCTGATCTTTGGAAAGGAGGAACTGACCTGTCTTGCTTAACTTTTATCATTCTTCCTCTTCTTGGTACCTACGTGTGAAACAATCACACGCTAAGTCGTTGACTTAGTGAGGCATATAAAACATATAATAGAAATCATAGTATATTTCATATATCAAAATACATACATGTACATATACCATCATTATCGAAATCTCTATTTATCATATGATCTTGTATTTATCATATCTGTATATCATATAACACATTTATCATTTCACAACTAAACATACATAATATCATATAATTCATGGAACATATTCCATATCACCAAAAGCATATGCATCATATGTATTAAATTTGTTAGTCTTTTTATTAGCCCATATACACCTGTGAGAACTTAAGGTATGTGAGTACATTGAGGTTGTGCACTAATGCTGTCACCACAGCTTGTATAAATTCCCTCATGGGGCACCAAACATTTGTTCAGTATTCGTCCCGAAGGGCCACTAGATACGTCCCGAAGGACCACTGGATACGTCCCGAAGGACCACTGGATACGTCCCGAAGGACTAATATACCCTCGACTCTTGGCATGCCAACTATACCACTAGCTCTCATATCATATAACATGGACATTATCATTTATACTTTTCATATCACTTGTTCTTTCTCTTCTGTCACATACCATATGTATGTGTAACCATATATTTCATATCATATCACATGTATCACAAGTGCATATATTCACGTAGATCATTTCATATGGCTTATATCATTCCTCATTTGTTCATGTAAACTCGCATGTCATATCTTGTTCACATATGTTCATATATACATCACATAGCACATAGTATAACATATAAACTTATACAAGTATCCATATATATAATTTCATATACTTCGAATAACAATGCTCTATAACTTCTCACAGTTTTACCTAATCACTTATTTCACATTAATTATATTCTAGTTTCATATATTACTTAATTCAATTTCACGTAGCTTGTTACCTATATAAATTTTTTCTCACAACTTATCATCACATGGTTCCCATAACATTTTCCTATAGCTTCATAAATCTTTACCATATGACTCATATATTATATGTTTATTTCAGTTCATAAATCCTCTCCGTATAACTTATTTTACATGTTTATATAATCACTTCTGTCAATGTCTACTCATTTATATATTATTCTTATATTGTCCTATAAATCAATGTTATTTAACTTATCTCACTTTTCATTTAATCTCATAAGTTGGTTATAAAAATTCCTTTATATATATATATCTAACTCATGTAATTTATATCCTTTCTCTTGTTATTATATAAATCATTGCTATTTTACATAGTTCGTGATCCTATAGTTACTTATAGTAGCATGTGTCTATCTTATCTCATATCATATAGTTCTTTAACTTATGTCTTAAATCACATATTTATTTTACATAACGTATATAAGTACATCCACTACTTAAACCAATTCACATAACTCATCACACTAACATTTATTCACTCAATTTATGTAACAGATGCAATACATATAACACATGTACCCATTTTCATGTACTCACGCAAACATAAGAATCACAATTCAAATAACATTTTAGAAGTCTCTTCTTACTATAGTAACTCCATCACTGGCTCATCGCAAGCCAATGTTTATTCGATACATAAGTACAATTTAAATTGCACTCACCTTAGCCTTGCTTTGATTCGATTTTAATCCTTCGATTGTTCTGGAATGAGATTACGCTCTAAATCTACATAATAATACATTGATACTTATCAGCATACGAATTGATATATTTCAAACTATAAATCCTTAGGCTAAAAGAAAACTATTTCTATCTCTTATTGAAGGTATGCATCGATGCACTACACCATGTATCGATGTATCCCTTGATGGGTGCATCGATGCACTACCCATGCATCGGTGCATAAATCCTATTTGATGTTTGTATTTTAAGCAGGTACATCGATACACTCCTTATGCATCGATGCACCTTCAACAAATTCTGGGATTTAATCTTAATACATCGATACACATTGAATGTGCACTGATGCACTCTGCCCAGAAATCTCTTTTTAAACCCGAAAATTCATCCATTTTTGCTTAAATCCTTCATGTTTCATCCCCTTTTTCATTCTTAACTCCAATACACATATTTAAACCAATCTATACTCATTTATTTCATCTTAAACCTTAAAATCATATCTTTCATATGAAATTCAAGAATTACCTTAATTTTATATGTGTTAATTCCACTTTTAACACTTGGTATGTCTTAACTAGATTGATGACAAGTCAAATTTAACTTTCAATTCTTATTATAAACTTTATTCCAAAATTTCATTCAAGGACCTCTAATCTTTAATCTCTTCTAACTCCATCATCCTTTGATTTTAAGATAACTTAAGCTTTCCTTAAACTTAATTATCATCTAATGATCAAAACCCATACTTAAAATCAACAAATAATCAACTAATCAGAAAACTTACCTTTGCTATGGAGACACGAGAAGAAAGGAAGAAGAAGAAGAAAAGAGAGTTTCCGGAGAAATCTCTCAAGCTTATCCCATATAAATTATTATCTTATCCTTTCCAATTCAAATGACCACTTTGCCCTCTAATTCATCTAATAATTACTAACAACTTTTAAGATTTATTTCTAAATAAATCATTGAACTAATCCATTGTTCTTCTTTATTTACTAAATTCTGAAACTTTACAATTTGATCACTAATTCGGTATTGAGGATGTTACATTGCAGCTGAGCCCCACGACGTTTCAGTTAATATAACAGGAGAATATAACGATATGGAAAATGGGAGGTTTGAGATTGGTGAGGAAGATGCCGAAGATGAAGAGGTTGAGCCCGAACCTATGAGTCCAGCGAGTGACTGGGATAGTGACATGGAGAAGGATGAGGACCTTTCTACAGGTTTCGGGGATGAAGAAGAGGAACTATCAAGGTTCGTCTGCCAGCTATACGACTTGATATTCCGCGAAGGTGCAAGAGTCGACATTGCCCTAAAAAATGCACTCGCCTCCAATCGGAAACTAAGGTATTGCTGTCACCTTCCCAATGTGAAACAGCTTGTCGAATAAATCCCATAAACATTACAGTAAAGAGGAAGATAAAGAGAGGGAAAGAATATACCATGTGTATGAATAATTACCAAAAAAAGAAGGAAAAAAGTGGGGGGCACCATTTGTTTTGGGGCTTATACAAGTAAACCATTCATTAGATAAACAAAGAGAAAAAATATTTACATTATTTTTAGTGGGAAGGTAATCTTTCAGTTTCTTCATGGGATTGGCTCATGTCCTATTGTCTCTCTTAGTTCTTGTATGATATTTGTTTTATCTATAAATTTTGGGAATTGATTTTTTTTTAATTTTTAACAATATTTGAATCTAAATTAACACAGCATTTTAGAATTTAAAAATTCTAAATCATTTACATTAAATATAAATATTACCATTTGAACTCAATAAATAAGTTTATCTTGTCGTTTTGAATTGAATGAATACAAGCCTTCTTTAGTGTAATCAGGTATACGGTGCAATTATAGGATAAGTTACATGTTTTTTCCTAAACTATTAATTTTGATATGTTTTAGTATCTAAATCTTTAATTTTTTCAAAATTATACTTAAAGATTAGTTTTTGTTTCATTCTCATCATTCAAAACTTTAAATTTTGTTTCATTATAGTACTTTGTTCAAAATTTAACGTTAAGTTTTAATTTTTTTTAAAGTTTAGATATTAAAACGGATAAAAACTGATAGTTTAGGTATTCAATATGTAAGTTTTTAATTATGCGTATTAAAATGAAATAAAAATTAAACTTTAGGTATGATTTTAAAAAAATTAAAAATATAGATATTAAAACAAACTTAAAGTAATAGTTTATATATTAAATACCTAATTTACCCTTAATTATATTAAAAAATACTATATGTTTCAAGAAAGTAGGAGACGAAATAAATCAAATTATAATAGAGGGACTAAATCCAAAACATGGATAGTGCAAGGAATTTTCATATGATTTAAGCTATTCTAAAAATAGTTGTTAAACCCTAGCAAAACCTAGGGAAATTCAAAGTTTTCTCTGTTTTGTCTTACCATTTAAAAAAGCAATGCTTTATCAATGGGGATTTACAGATCTCTGCAAAACCTAATCATCAAAAACCCTAACAAAGCCCGAACCTTTTTGACCGCAACATTGAGGAATCCAAGCACCGCAACTTACGTAATTCCACCTCTATCATCTCCTCTCTTTCACACCCGAGTCTCGCCGTTTTCTCCATCGCTTTCTAAATGGATCGCCCCCTTCAATGGCCCTCTTTTCCTCTCTTCCCCACCATGGAAGCTCTCCCAATTGGCCACTCCGTTTTGGGGGAACGTCCCCGTTTTACGAAAAGTTAAAGCTTTGAATCTTGACTTGATCAGAGGCAGCGGAGCTAAATTTCCAGTCAAGCTACGATTTGGGTCGGTCTTATCGGACCCGAGTGTGCTTGATCGGTTGGAAACCGAGAAGGGAAGCACTAAAGAAAGGGAAGCTGTGGTTGAGAGTTTTGTGAATTTGCCGAATTTAATTTCAATGAGTAGATTGGTTTCTGGTCCTTTGCTTGGATGGTAAGTTTCAATATCAAACTTGGGGTTTTAATTGATTTTTGAAGTTATTAACTCAGTGAGTTAATTGTAGGATGATTGTAAACGAAATGTATGGTCTTGCATTCGTGGGATTAACCATCTCTGGTGCAACTGATTGGGTATTTGATTCTCTGGAACAAAGTAATTTTCTTTTTGTGCAAAAACTATGAAAAATTGAAGTTTATTTTATCATTTCTATTGTTCCCCCCCCCCCCAGCTGGATGGATATGTAGCTAGAAAGATGAAGATCAATTCAGTAGTGGGTTCTTATCTTGATCCTCTAGCTGACAAGGTAAATGAACTAATGCCACTTCTTTATAGGTTCATGTGAGTTTTCATTTGACAAGTTTGTCTTTGATCTTGTTCATATAGGTTCTTATTGGATGTGTTGCTTTATCTATGGTACATAACAATCTTTTGCACTGTAAGTTTTATCCGTATTTGTTTCGATCATCTTCAATTCTCTGGTTATTGGTAGTTGTTGAGATAGTGAGGACTTGACATGTTTTAATCAATACGTCTCACTTTCCTTACATTCATAAACAAGTGTGCGATCTTGCAAATACATGAGCTTTCCTCTGTTTAACACTGAAATGTTTTGTAGTCGGAGTAAATGTTTAAGATTTGTACTAGTTTCTCATAGCTTTTTCGCTTGTGTAAGAAGGATAATTTGGAATTATCATATTGATGCCTATAGTTATAGATTGTATCAACATTTTTTTTCCTTCTAGTAATTGCCTTGATATCCTTCATCTTGATTTCTGTTTCACCTACCTTTAGTACACGAAATTATGGATGTTTAGAGCTGTGGTTATCTGTGTATGTTATTTGATATTTAATTTTACACGCGTAGAGGTGTTATATTATCCGCAAATGTCTGGTGATGCATATCTTATTAGATTTTTATGCTTTAAAGCTGGACTTGTCAGACTTGTTGTCTTGCGAGATGTTGCCCTTATCGGTGGTGCGATGTACCAAAGAGCTAGTAGCTTGGGTTGGCAGGTGAAGTGCTTAACTTGAACTTTACTAGGTCATGTTTTTGCTCCAATTCTTGCTTGGCTAACTTTAGTAATCGTTGATCTAAATCTTGGGTTTTATTGTTTGTTTCTCTTCGATTCAGTGGAAAAGTTGGCTAGATTTTGTCAATCTCAATGGGACTAGTCCGCAGAAGGTTGAGCCCCTCTTTATAAGCAAAGTAAGTATCGTCGTTTATTTCCCCGATTGGGTGGAATATGGAGTTAGCAATGTATTCTGCAAATCTTTTGCATTTTAACACTATAAGTGACACTGAGAACAAGGAGTAAAATATACTGGCAAGGCATGGACAATCACAAAATCCATCAACGGAATGCGGAAAACCCTGAGCTCGACTTGTGAAAACAGTTCATACTTCCATATCCAAGAAAACTTCAAATTTTTGCAGGTTAACACGGTTTTCCAGCTGATTTTAGTTGCCTCAGCTCTCCTACAACCCGAGTTCGGAATGCCAGAAACTCAATCATGCATCACATTCTTAAGGTAAATTAACACTTTGCTAATTAGATCATAAAATCAAAAGCTTAGATTTCACGATATGTCAACAGTTGGATAGTGGCTGCAACGACAGTAGGTTCTACCATTGCATACGGAGCACAACACACAAGAAAGAGACCGAGGTTGATGTCAAAAAAGCTGTCGAATTCTTAACGCAACACTAAGACAAGTGATGAGTTCCAGAAGCAGCCGATGTGTGAGCTTATATAGAGCCGTAGATGGGAAGAAAAGGAATAGGTCATGAGCCTAAGGGAGCTCATAGGTTGCTTGTAATTGGCTTGCACCGTCTTGTAATAAAAGCGACAGAAACAATGAAACGAATACAGCCTTCGGCAAAAGCCTGCTTTTAGAGTAAACTTGAAACTGTAACTTTTAAAATTTTGTTATTAATGTTTAAGCTCTGCTTCAAGAGATTTTGCCAACTTTTCAACGTGGATGATTTGCATCATGCCGAGTTTCGGTTCAAATATGAAAATGGGACGGATAGGCATATGATTTTATGTTATGTAGTATGATAAAACTCCTTTCGATCTATCTCTGATAAGAGGGATGATTATATCTAATCAAATTCGATTTTATCCCTTTCGATAATGTATTATAAAAGTTAAGAATTTGTTTGTTTCACTATAATTGATTTTACTGAAAATATTTTTCTTATTTTTTATTGTTTGATTGGCAGAAAATTAATTGGTCAATATAAAACATTTTCTTGGTCAATATAATTTCTTTTGTATTATATGAAAAATGACTTACAATATGATTTTTTGTAAGTTTTTTTTTTAAATCGATAAATCAACTCCAAATCAAATCTTTATTAATTTCAATTTGATCTATAATTATAAACAAATGTCTCTTAATATCTTTTGAAATCAATAAAATATAAGTAGTAAAAATATTTTGATGTCTTTTCTATTTTTTTTATTCTTTATTTTCCTGCCGATCGAAAATAAATCAAATATTGAGATTAATTTTTATAAATGTGAATCAAATTGATATTCAATAAAGAATTGGTTTGAAGTTACGGAATACAATAAAAGATACAAATAAAATGAGATAGAGAAAATGCATTAGGTTTTTTTTTGGTATAATTCAGATCAAGTGAAAAAATACAAAAAAAAATACTAAGAGTTGTTTTTTATAATTATAAATAAAATAAATAAATCTATTAATTTATTTTATCAGATTATTAACGATCACATCATCCTAATTAAAAATTAACGGCCAATATTTAAAGCCTTAAAGATCTAAAAAATCTTATTATTTAAATAATTCTAATACAATGCAAACCTGTAAAATAAAAAGCGAGTACAAAGTAGATGCTACTAAATAAGTAACTGATAAGCATTTTTGCAAAAATATTTTTATTTAAGTGATGTCTACTGAAATTTAATAAATCCATCACAATTCAGAAATCAAATATCATTTCATTACTATACATAATCTCAAGCCTTAATTCAACAATCAGTCCTTAAACTATGTATTTTCTAAATGAGATGCCTGAACTATAAAATTGAAACATAAGCATCAATTAGTTTTCTTTTAGCAATGCATGGAATGTAATTTAACTTAGCTTCTTTTTGCATGAGCAGAAAATAGTAGTTCCTTCAGACACACAAAAAAAGAATTTGGCCAATTGTGGTGTTGCCCTGCAATATTTGGAACAGGCTGGTGTCATTCTATGTGATGAAGATGGATTGAAGATTACAGTAGATGATGTTGCTGGTGGAGATAAGGAACTCATTCTATCCTTGCTGTGGAATATATTTGTTCACTTACAGGTCTGCTAATTTTATCTTTGTTTGAAATTTTTAAAAGTTAATGGTTTCAGAAATTTTGCAAATGTTAATCTTTTATTTCTCACTTCTGTTTTCATTGAACTTGCAGCTGCATCTTCTGTTTGATAAAACAACTATTGCTGGTGAAATATCCAAAAAAGGTGGCTTTAATATGGTATGCTGCAGATTTCCATTGAGTTCTTGTGGAAAATGGGGGATTACAAGTGAGGGAGGTGGGGAACAGAGCTGGATAATTGACTTAGTTTTCCTATTCATCACATAAAAAATAAGTGCATGTAGGAAGTATAACAACTAGCTTTATGCTTAAGTAATAGAAATGCTAGGCTAAGTTCCTTTTTTTTTTTTTAATTTTTGTTTCTTTTGTATATTAAGGTTTCCTAATGTTCATAATCTCAGTTTCACTTTTCTATGCTCACTACAGGATAACTTGAATGTAATCAGTTCCACTCTTTTGTGAATGCTTTTAAACTGGATCCAGGTATTCTGTAATTTCATAGCAACATTGGTTTTTCTTCTTCTCGCTTAAATTGCATCTTCGTTCCTTTCATTGCAGTTAATAACAATATAGATGAATGTTTGTAGGCAATTTGTGAAAAGTATGATCTTAAGATTGAAAGCTTTTCTTCACTGGTTAATGGAAAAGCCATATGGTGCTTGCTTGATCATTACTTCCGCAGAGAATTGTCCTGTTCTTGTTATAACAAGGTGGTACAGATTCTCTGGCCCTATGATTTCATTCTTTTCTACACTGATATGAATTATCACTTTATTTTTATGGCTTAAAAGGATTCTCATGACCCAAGAGGAGAAGAATCTATCATGTCTGCTACAGATTACACAGATGCAGTTCACAATTTTATGTTATCACAGAAACTGATAGCACTTTTGGGAAATTTCCCTGAGGTAATGTTATCACAATTTTAATGCTTATTAATTGATTATATACTATCTACTTTACATTTAGTTAAAAAAAAAATTATAACTGAGGTAAAGTGAGATTTTGGGAGATGCTGCTTATGTTTTAAAAGCTGATTTTTTTGGGAGCAAAACAGTGTTAAATGATGATGCTTAGTCTTTGCCTGCTGTGTTGTACAGGTTCTGCAAATAAGTGACTTACTTGAGCATAATGGTGCAGTCAGTGATCAGAGTGTGGTAATTTTGCTTGTTTTCCTGTTGTCCCAGCTTGTTGTCAAGAAAAATATGGTAATGCTTGATCCCAGAAGCCATTTTATAAACCATTTGATTTTGTCATAGCTGCAAACGGTTCAAGAACTCTTCTATCCTTTGCCAGGATCAGTTGAATTTCCATAAACTATTGGGTTGCAATTTCCCAAACCTAGAGCGGAGGCATTCATTGACTCGAAGACAGTCAGCAAGTTCTCAAGCTGTTGTGCAAAAGGAAAGAGACATAGAAATCACTGAAGGTATGCATGCATGTTAGATACATCTGTTTTGATTGTATATGCATCTAAATGTGGTTGAATTGTGCAAATCAAGACCAAATACAATCACATCCTACAAAAAAGCTTGAAACTGTAAGTGTATGAATCATTCTTATTGAACTTAGCTTCTTGGGAAAAACTGGAAAATAACCTAGAGTTGGCTGCAGTTTGTTCATACAGAAGAAATGTGCTTTAGCTATGAGTTTATTATAGTTGGTGCACTTCATGGATTCCATTGTCTTTGTAATGGGTTTTATTCTCCAAGAAATAGATGTTAATTTATCCGAGAAATGTCCAGACAACTGGTGCTATTGCCTTTTCTATATGATCTGCCTAACTTCCTCTACTGTTTCCTTTAACAAATCATGAAGCCCCTTTTTTGCTTTTTATATACACTGTGTGTGTGGTGTGCATTTGCATGAGTGTGTGTGTGTATATATACATATGCTTATTTATTTTTTTGATGTGATTAGTTTAAGGAAATTATCAGGTCAAATTTTTGCATTTGCACTAAATGTTCAAGCCTTCATGTACTTGCTCTTACATTTCATTCATGCAGATGCTGCCAAAAAGTTCAAGGCCATTCACGCTTGGTGGCAAGATATGACAGAACAAAACTACAAGAGTTCTATAAGACCTGCTGCTTGTGCTTCGAATTGTTCACCAACTCAGAACACAAGCTCTGACATTTTAAGAGGTTAGTGTTGCTGTCAACAATAAGTATGAGTTAAATATCAATTGGTTTTAAATTTTCTCAGTTTTATTTAGTTGATTTTTCTTCTTAGGCTATTTAATTTTGATATTCGTTGATTGTTGCCACATTCTTGTTTTTGCAAGTTCTCATGGGAAATCTGTTCACAGCGAGTTCAAATCACTGGATTCTGAAACTATACTTGATAAATTATGCATTTCTCTAAGGTTGTTTTGATTTTATGGCTTGCTCAAACTTAATTTTGTATCTTTGACTCTTTGACCTTCCATTGCATTCATCATGAATAGCATCTAGCAGTAAGTAATATTCTTCCTCTAACCTTGCCATTCCTGCGTAATGCTTCAGAAAATGCTGCCATAATCATACAGTCTCGTTATAGGCGATTGTTAGAGCGTCACAATTTTCTCAAGATGATGAAAGCAATCTGTTTAGTCCAAGCTGTTATGCATGCGTGGTTGACTGTAAAGAAAAGTACAAAGCTCAACGATTTCAATTTTGCCAGTATTCGGGAATTTCCATCTGGTATTTGCTCTTGTAAGCATTTTGGTTTTATGCTTTTTTCATTTCCGGTTTCCCACTTCAATTTTTATCTTTGCTTTGCCAGAAGAACTCAGGAGAGTTGTCAGGTTTGTTGCTGAGAGACAGTTTTGTTAATTTAAGAAGATCAGTGTTGCTCATACAGCAAGCTGCAAGGATTTATATTGCCAAAAAACGAGATGTATCCCATTGAAACCTAGTCAAATCTGCCACTGTAATTCAGAAATATGTTCGTGGTTGGATGGTGAGGTCACACAACATTCTTGGCCATGCTCATATTGAGAATGCATATTTTAAGTGCCAAGTGAATGGTCAACGTAATAGTGATATAGAAGCTGCAACCAGGATTCAGATTGCATGGAAGAGTTTTCTTCACAGATCTCAATCCAAACAAATTGTTGCTGCAGCTAAAATTCAGAGTTGTTTTCGGGGTTGGAGGTTTATGATGCAGAAGCAAGCAATAAAAAAATTTCAAAGTAATTTCCGACGACTGAGATGTTGGAGGACCTTTCAGATTGCTAGGAAGGAATTTGTCTGTAAATCCCGTCAAAATCAGACATTAGCAGCTACCAAAATTCAGAGTCATTTCCGTGCTTGGTTGTTAAGAAGAAGTTATACAAAGAAGAAACAAGCAAAAATAAAAATTCAAAGTAATATTCGACGACTGAAATGCTATAGGGCCTTTCAGATTGCAAGGAAATAATTTGCCTGTAGATCTCTTCAAAATCAGACAGCTGCTACCAAAATTCAGAATCAGTTCTGTGCTTGGCAGTTGAGAGGAAGTTTTATGAAGAAGAAGCAAGCAACAATAAAAATCCAAAGTAATTTCCGACGACTGAAATGCTATAGGGCCTTTCAGATTGCTAGGAAGGAATTTGCCTGTAGATCTCTTCAAAATCAGACTTTAGCTGCAACCGAAATTCAGAGTCGGTTCCGTGCTTGGCAGTTAAGGATAAGTTTTATGAAGAAGGAGCAAGCAATAATAAATTCCAAAGTAATTTCCGGCAGTGAAAATGTTTGAAGGCTTTTCAACAATGTGAAAAAACCAACAGATCAGCTATCATCATTCAATCTTATGTGCGTGGATGGATAGCAAGGAGAAAAGCTTGGAGATATAAGTATCTTATTGTTATGATCCAAGTAAGTTGTTTCTTCCATAATTGATTATGTTCTAGACTTCTAGTGTTATTTTATTTAACCATTAGATTTCTTGTCATCTATCAGCTTGGTTTGTAATCGAAACTATGTTGCATTTGGTTAAAATTGATGGATGGATCAACCCTCTTCCTTTTTCTATTGTTCTTAATATTGCATTGAATGTTCACTTGCATATCTGCCCAATTTTAATTAAATTTATTTTAATATTTTTTCTTTGTGACCTTTGGTAGTCATATTGGAAAGGTTATGTTGCTCGGAAAGAATCGAGAGCGCAGCTAAATGATTTGCGCTTGAGAATGCAGAAGTCTGCTAAGAATGTCGACGATAGAAAACATATTATTAACAGGCTTTTATCAGCACTTTCAGAACTACTAAGCATGAGAAGTATCAGTGGCATTCTTCACCACTGTGAGACCTTAGGTAAGTGAGTAAACTGTATTCTAAAGTTCATACTTAGTATATCCTAGGATGTGTTCTACACTGGTGTTGGACATGGATACTTCAAAAACGAAGAGTCGGATCAAAGACGAAAATGCAATTGAATCTGCGTACTTATGACAACGCTAAAATTGCAGAAATGGCAACAGCCCATTCTCTGAAATGCTGTGAAGAACTTGTGGCCGCTGGTGCAATCGGCATTCTACTAAAACAGATTCGCTCAGCCAGTTGAAGCATCCCTGATCAGGAGGTTCTAAAGCATGCACTCTAAACACTCAAAAACCTTGCTCGTTATCCCCATTTGGCCCAAGTGTTGATCGACACTCCTCCATTAGTAGAGACAATCTTATGGGAGATGCTCAGGTTTTCTATTTCCCGGTTGGAGATTTTACTACATCTTTACGTTGTTTTGTTTCTGGTTCAGTTATAATTTACATCTCCAGGAACAAGGAAGAAGGTTACTTTATTGCTTCCGAGATCTTGAAGAAGATATGTTCAAATCCAAAAGGTGTGAAAGCTGTACACAAGTTGCCTGCCCTTTTGAAGAGACTACACAATCTTGTTGAAGACCTTACAAGGAAATTAATCATTGAGAAAAGGTTAAATTTTTAGACAGTAAAAGAGCGTATTTCCATACAAACCTATGGAATGTGATGTGATTTATGACCCACTACTTGTGTTATGTTCCTAATCCAACAGGAATCCTCGCACTGTTTCCTTAAAAGAGAGAACAAATAGAAGATTGAAGGAGGCAGTCCAACTGCTTAAACTGGTAACAAATTGTTATCGAAACCAGTAATCATCAAAAGGGTGCATGACACGTGCATGGTTGTTCGGATTGTGAGAGGTGCACTCTGTATATAAAGCTGCAACCAGGCAAGCATAGTGTCGTTTTATCTTGAAACTGGTATGTGGCTATCGATATAGGTGAATGTAGGACATGTGTGAATGTAGGGCATCCTGGTTACCATTGCTTACTCTAACAACAAATATGCCTTTTTACAAACATAAAAGAGTACTTTGATTGAACTATAGTGCAAACCAACGCCTGAATGGAACAGTTTATACAAACTTAAGGACTTAAATCTGGTTTCTTCAAGTTCAGACAATCATCCGCTGCTTGACTGAAAAATTTTCTGAACCTGTTTCATTTCTTTCTCTGGAAACAAAAACACTGAAACATCATTTGGGTAGTTAAGACGTTCGACATTTCAAACATCCTGGTTAACTTCCATGAAAGATAAGTTGAAACATGTATAGTAGCAGTTGAAAACGAACTAAAAATTCAAAAGAAACATGTATGAACAACCAACACAAAGCTATCATCCTCTGCTTAGCAACTATTGTCCAGTTGTCGAATCTGGCCCAGCCTAGATCTTAATCATCTGCTACACCTACTAGTTAGTATTTCAGGAATCATTTTTCCCTTAAGAGCATGGAAGGAAGGTGCTTGTACTGCAAGGACTATCCGTTTTTCTTAAAGTGATCAAGGAAGACAAGTATCCGTATCAAGGGATATGACCTTTCAAGGACTTTGATGATACTCATACAGGATTCGTACTGTTATCTGACACGCTCGCAATCATGTTCGAGTAGCAAAGAATGTAAAAGAAAAAAGTACCAGCAGCCCTCCAGTTGCTTCTGAAGCTCTTGGCCTACAGCATCATTTTCAGCCTGGACAACAAATGAAGGCAGCAAAGATGACAATCAAAAAAGAAAGTCCTTAAACTTTCAATAGTTATAATAAAATGGTCATTAAATTGAATAAACTAGTGTAGATCCTATGTATTTACTTGGAGTTCAGCAATCCTTGTGAGCTGAGCTTCTTCTCCTTCCTCTGAAGGCAGAAGTGCAGCAACCAATGCATTAAACTGGGAAAGAACTACCAGCAACAATTAACAACATTTGTCCCCAAAACTATGATAAATCAAATACCCATTCTCACCTGTTTAGAAGCCTTAACAAGAGCGGCACTCATAAGTTTAGGCTGTTCGTTGGCTGAATCTTGTGTGGGATTGGTGGGAGGCGGTTCTGGGTAATTCTGGAGGAGTCGAATGGGTGGAGCATGCCATTGCAGTGTACCAAAAGTGTTGAAAGCCATGGCTGCTATTGAATTTACTTGATCTTGTAATTGGGAAATGATGTACATCTTCAACAAAAACTCAAACCTTATGAGAAAGATTTTGCGGATGTTAACTTAAATAGATTTGGTCTTGAAGATCAGAACTCAGGGCTTGATGTTAAGTAGCTGAGAAACTTGTTGGTCTTGAAGATCAGAATTCACGGGTGGAGCATTTCCAGAGCACCGTTTCTATTGAATTCACTAGTTGGACAGATTCATGTGGCTTAAGATCAGAACTCAGGGCTTGGTGTTCAGTAGCTAAGAAACTAGTAGCAATATTTGCAGACATTGGCTCAGATGCTTTAGGAGCATCTATGTAAACATCAACTGCGATGCACATTGGTACTATCACCTACCATAACATTAAGAAGATGCCCAACATCAAACGATCCTTCAACGACACCGGAAATCATCTGACCGAACATGTCAAGCAGAGGCAGGGTCACCTATCCACACACTCTGCTTGTTTCTCTTCGCATTGTCAGTTTTGGGTGTCGAAGGTGTGTTTCCCCCTTGAATGCTCTCATCCTTGCATGGACGCCAACGCTTCCGCTTCACAGTGGGGTATGCAGAGGAAGATAAGCTAGCCCCTTGATTCTGGCACCTCATCCTGCTAAGACGGATGCACAACATAAACAATGACCGAGTGCATCAGAAAAAGGGTACAAATGTGTAGTCGATCAAGATACTAATACTGATCAAGGATATAGCAAACTAAATCAAGAAACCGTCTGAACTATTATGAACGTAAGACGGCCTATTTGTGCAATAGGCAAGTTTTTTCTTGAAGTAGACTCGGTTTCTGATCTAAAGGTTCGATATCAATACGTCGTCAGTGCCGTATAGAAACTGGAGTCGTGTCTGAATTTTTCATAAGTGCTTGATACTAGAAATGGGTTGGATTTGAACATCTGATATCACCTACTCGATGAAAGAGCTATCGATGACAAACTAAGATAAGGATGCCAAAAAGACTGCGTATGGAACAGCTAGATTCAAGAACAAGCCCAACTGATATACGTTAGATTACGACATGTCTTGTCGTCTTGATATCTTACAACGATGCATCCCAATAATTTGGACATCTATTGATAGATGTTTGCACGTTGCTACGCTTCCTAGCTTATCTTACTACATGCAATCCGTTTTGGAACAAAAGCTCCAACAAAACAAAAGCTATGAACATCAGAAACTCAGAATCTTGTAACACATTGCCAAGAAAGAAAGAAAAAACACAATTACACACCTGGTGGGACTCGAACCCACAATCGTCTGATTAGAAGTCAGACGCCTTATCCATTAGGCCACAGGTGCTACGTTGATTGGTTTAACTTTTAAATACAAATTCTATAAGTAGTATATGTGTTGGTTCTTTGGATAACATGTGATAATTTTAAGTTCTTTAACCTTCATGGTAGACGAGGTGGTATTATTTTTTAGGATTTAAGTTTAACTATTATATATGTAGGGTATCAACTATCGATGTCAAATAGTCGAGAGTTCTTGAATAAATATGATCTTGTACTTATCACATATTATTAGAAAAATTATCTCATTCAAATCCTATTAGAAAAATCAACAAATAATAACACTTATAATTTTTTAACTTTTTTTATTTCAATTTATAGATCATTAAAATCGAATCTATCAATCATTTTTTTATAATAATTTTATCTTTTCTCTCATTTTATATGATTTGATTGTGGTAAAATTAAGTTTTTTTAAAACTGTGTTTATTCATCATCGAACAAAATTAATGAGATAGATGAAATAATTATTTTTTTAAATAAAATTAATTTTAAAATTATACAAATTAAGTGATCGCCGAAAAAATAAGCTTAATTATTGATTGAGTGATAGTGGTGGACCATGATCAACCCAACGAGCCTAATTACTTGGTATATTTTAAGCTCTGAAATAGATCACTGGATATTCTATTTTTACAATGCATTCAAACTATTTATAAAACAGGTCTTACTGTTTTAGCTTACACCATCTTGAACAAGATTAAAAGAATCATTCAAAATTTTAATTGTTCATCTTTAAAATAAATATTTTTTTAAAAAATAATTCTAGCCGGATATAGAAAAGATGATTAAAAATAAGAGCTTCTGTAATAACTATTGGTTTTACTATTTTGAATTGGCTTAATACCGAATTAAGTGTCTAAATTATACATTTTTTCTCAAATAGGTGTCTAAACTATTTTTTGACTCATCCATGTGTCTAATATTACAAACGTTAACTATGTCAACCCGTAAACTATTTTTTGACTCATCCCTATGAAATCGTGAATGATCGACGACGAATCGACTTTTTTGTTAGATTATGTCAAAAACCAATCATATGATGATTGTAATGATATATCTTATTACCGATTTTATTGAATAAAGGCATTGCTACTATTATTTTCAGTTATATATCTGTGTTTAACATAAACTGAAAGATAATAAAATCAATATAATAATGTAATTATTATTATTAAAAGATCCTTAGTCAATTATTATTATGGGCATGAACAATAATAATACGCTTAAGACTAACATGCTATTGATTGATGATAATAAGTTGTCATTGACATAGAGATGTCAGAATTGATACATGATTATATTGATAGAGAACAATGTATTAGATTGTCCCACTATGAGCATATGTCTTGGATTATTATGTGACGGTCACAACATTGTTCATGGTGATGATTATATGTACAATCCTCATACTTGAGATCATTACTATCTTAATATATATTGTTGTACGTTTTGATACAATTAAACATGCTTCATAACTGATTATATTATAAAGATTGTTATTGAATATATCTCGATATATGTAGTGGGATGTGTATGATTAAAATATGATTTGTCCTTCTTACATAATAGGAAATATACCATATGCCACTTGATTGAGTGAGACTAGAAATGCATGGCCATGCTCGAATAAGTTAATATGAGATATCACAAATTATTCGTTAATTATAGTCTACTCTAGATATCAAAAAACAATAGATGGGCTATACAAGTGTTACTATTCCAAGTCTTGTGTATATTCTAGATATAAAGGACAAAAGAAAGTAATAGATAAAAGAGTTAATCACAAAGATGAAATGTCGAATCATAATTTCTTGTAACTTAGGTGACAATGAAATATTGCTATATGCCACTTATTGTTTGTAATATTAGATTTATTCTAATAATTGCTACTAATATTACAAGAACCTACAGAGTCACACCCTAGGGTTGAAACGAGCAAAGAAGTACAATTTGTTGTATGTTACTAAAATATATATCTAGAGTTAACATATGTATATACATATGATTTTAATTATCCCGAATATAGTAAGTAAACATTAAAAGAATTCAATTTTGATTACAACTACTTTAATAGATATTTAATTCGAAATAATTAAATAAGATTTTAAATAAACATTAAAAAGTGTAATTCAGATTATAAGTCTTTAATGGATATTTAATTTGAATTAATTAAATAAGAGTTTAATTAATTCGAAATAAAAAACCCCCTAATATGTTAGGGTAACTCGGATATTTAAAGATAAGTAAGATCTAACAGTCGCACTTAATCTTTAGCCGTTTTTCTCAAAACCATTTTTGGGAAAAGTTAAATTTTGCTCTCAACCGGGTGAATTGAGTAGAGGACATGACGTTTTTCATGGAGGTTAGTATTCGAACCGTTCGTGACCATCAATAGTCGTTGTTGTCTTTGCTGATTTACAAGGAACCCAATGTAAGTAATGGCATCCCTTCCTCCTGGTTTTGGATTTAACGTACTTAGATTGTTGGTGAAACCGTCACTTTTTGTTTTCGCTGTTCCATGGGTGACATTTATAACGTTTTTAATATTTTTTTCAAAAAACAAATTTCAAAATACCATATTGTGACATTTTTCACTTAACAGGGGAAATCAACACCGTTGACGGTCCGAACACTTAAATGGGTAACATTTATAACGTTATGTAGATAGCCGAGTCAAAAAATAGTTTAAACATTTATTTGTAGAAAACAATATAATTTGAACAATTTTCTATCATATTCTTAGATACTACTCCATTTTGGATGTAGTTTTGTCAATGCTTCAACAATATGATTTGGTTTGCGACAGACATATTGGATTCGTCACAAACAATAATTACATATAGAGGGAGAAGAATTTAAGGATATTTTAAAGTTAATACACGCAAGGACAAAGCTTGGTTCAAGATATTAATAAGAAAATAAGGGTTAAACTTCAAGAACTTACAAATAGTTAATAGTAATCTTTGTAAAGCATAGCATGATCTTTTGTATGGGAGGTTTTTTCCTTTGTAAACTTTGATTTTGTAGGCATTACAACATTTCAAAGTTCATCCCTGTGTACCTCGGATTTAACATTTCAGGTCAGACACCTTGATTAAATCAAGTTTATAAAATCTACCTCGATTATCGAATTCCTTACCACTTGATCCAACACCATATTAGTTTTTGGATATACTTTCTTCAGTTCAAATGTATCACATGAGTATCACTTGGTATTATTGAAAACAACTACATGTGAAAGTGAAAGGGTTACACTTCCACAACTGCAGAAAGGGATGGGCACGGGTCGGGTTTGGGTCAACCCGACCCAAAAATTTTATATATTTCACCCGACCCGACCCGAAAAATATATATCCTCCACCAATCCTGACCCGAAGTAATAAAAGTTATTATTTTTATTCAATAAAAACAGTGACTTAAATGAAAAAAATAATATATAAAAGGGTATTATTGTAATTATTCCTAAATATATAAGGTAAAATTATTATTATTTTTGGTTGGATCGGGTATTTTTCACCCTAAACCCGAATCCGACCCGAACATCACTTTTAAAAAAACCCGATCCCAATTTTTTTTTAAAAAGATCCAACCCGATCGGGTCAGGTCAGAACCCATCGGGTACAGGTCCCATGCCTATCCCTAGCTGCAGACAGTAAACTGCACTTTCAATGTGAAATAGGTTTGAACCCATTGATGAATGGCCCAAGCATTTATAAG